TGGTCGCAACAGTAGCGGCTGTTTTATCAGGTATAGCTCTCAAAATAACGAAGCGGGTGCATACGTCTGTCAGGACGAGAAGATATTTGTTGTTTTTCGAGGACAAATGGAATTCACCAGCGAGATCTACAGTCATATGCTCGCCTGGTAAATGTGCATGAATAGCCTTGAGGGGATGGTACCCTTTGCGAGTGATATTAATGCGTTGACACTCAGGGCATTGTTTGACGTGCTCAAGACAATCCTTGACCATGAATGGCCACGTCTTATCTTGGGCGTGAATTTTGTCAACCATTTTGTTCGCACCAATGTGACCGAGGGAGTGAACCTCAGTCATGAGTGAAGGACGGTCTTTCGCTGCGACAGTGATTCTAGGAACCGATTTGTCTTTGAGCATATGAATGTAGCCGTACACTTTCATTGGTGTTTTCAACTTAGGCCTGTCAGTCCACAACTTCTGAGGGAACTGACGAGATAACGCATCAGGTAACACATTGAGTACTCCAGGACGGTAAACAATGTTGAACGAGTAAGCCATGATGGTGTCAAACCAAGTTGTCATCATTGGGTTCAAATCTTGCTGTGAGTGAAGAAAAGTAAGAGCCCGATGATCGGTGAACAAGGTAAAATGGTAACCCCAAAGATATTGATGGAATTTTTTCAATGCGAAAACGATCGCTAATAACTCCTTCTTAGTAGCGGAATATTTTCTCTCTCGGTCCTGCAAAGTGCGAGCCATGAAAGATATGTAGTTGACGTTCGAGGGAACGGACTGCATATCCTTCGGTTCGGGTACACCTTCCGGCAACTGATACAGTACCGCACCAATTCCAACGTTGGACGCGTCCGTGGCAACGTAGAACGGTCGACTGAAGTCTGGAAAGGATAACACAGGAGCTCGTACAAGTAGTTCCTTGAGTCCATTGAAAGAATCCATTTCATCTTTTGATAATTTAAAAGTTCCTTCTCTGTGACGAAGTGCATCAAGTGGTGCAGCAATAGTACTGTAGAGAGGGATATATTCATGAAAGAAATTGAGGGTGCGCAAATATGATTGCACTTGTTTGGCAGTGGTAGGTGGTGCCCATTCGTGAATGTTAGCCAACTTGGTAGGGTCGACTTTCTTTCCAAAGAGATCAACAATGAATCCCAGCAGAGAGATCTGTGTGCTGAAAAAATTGCACTTGTTCTTGTTGATGATCAATTTCGCCTCGTTGAGTCTTTCGATCACACATTTGACATGAGCTGCATGCTCTTCTCTGCTTTTTGAAAAGATAACAATGTCATCAATAAAGTTCAGAACAAAAGGCAAATCGCCAAGAAACTACCAGACGGGAGCTTATTGATCAGCAGGCGCCACCAGACATTGCGCGCGTTGTGAGGGAGCTTGTTCTTCCAGAACTCGTTCCAAAAGGCAGGCGTCAGCGGTGGGTGAGGTGCGATCATTGGTGGGTGATGGGGTGGTGGTGTCGGGGGCTGGTAGACTTTGGAGAACATTGCTCGTCGAAAAGTCCTTGTACTGGCCAGTCCAAGGGTACCGTTCTCCGATTGGGTGATGGTGATCTCATTAAGGCGCTCAGCAAGATCATCCTGTAGTGATAGCGGACCCGGTGTGTCCAGTGCGCGTTGCAGAGTGGGGTGAGCCTTGAAACGGTCCTGGGCATGGTTGTCCTCCAGACCTGGATGTGATCGGTGGCCTGTGGTGCGTTCAGCACGGGGGATGAAGGCCAGGGTACCTTCTGTCCTTGCTTCGTTGGTCCAGACAGGTCTGAACACACGATCCATGCGCCAGTTGGGTGGATGTGGCCGAGGGACATTGTCTGCCTTGAGCCAGAGGGGGAGTAGGGTAGCCATCATAGTGCCGACCGGTAGGGTCTCGGCCGACTCTTGATCCCATGCGAGCCTTGGAACCAGCTGGATCGCCTGTATTAGACCCTTGAGGACTGTATGCGGTCGAAAGTGCTTGAACCTTGGCGTGAGAAAGAAATCTGGGCTGGCAAAGCAAGCCAGAGGGTGCTCTGACTCTGAGGCTGAGCAAAGGAGATCCTTGAGGACGGGGACCATGAACGACCGTGTGTCGGAGCAAATTTTTTGCACCAACCGGAGTTGAAACGCAACACTCTGAGAGGCAATGTCAACGAGACCAAGACCACCTTGAGACCGACGGAGGCAGAGGTGGTTCCAGGAAGGGGCGGGAAAAAAAGAGACTGTGAACTTGCGGATCGTGCTCTGGACTTTCTTTATCCACTGGCGTGTCGGAGGCTGGACAGCGATGACATGCCAGAGGCGAGAAAGTAGAAGTGAGTTGGCGATGGTGCTTCGACCTAGAACCGAGAGCTGACGACCTTGGTGTAGGTTGATATGGTGTTCGATTTTTTTGTGGATGTTGTTGAAAAATGTGTCCCGTTGTGCTGTGTTGAGGGCGAGGGGGTAGCCCAAGTAGGTCAGAGCGTTGTCCACACGAGTGGAATGGATGACGACGTGATCCCGCTGAAGAGCCTGTGAAAGTTCGCCAACCGTCCTGTACAAAGGAAATGCGACCGTCTTCTTCAAGTTGAGCTTAGCATTCGAGGCACGCCCAAAAATGTCCATGATGTCCTTCAGACAGCGCCACTCCTCCGCCGACTTGATGAAGGTGGTAAGGTCGTCAGCGTAAGCCATCAGCTTCAAGAGGGTCGCTGTTGGGCTGTTGTTGAGTCGATGACCAGATATTCCAGGGCACTGTAGGATGGTGTGAAGAAGGGGCTCGAACGCGATGTTGTAGAGTAGTGGTGATAGTGGGTCGCCCTGTCGTAATCCGCGGCATTGCTGAAACGGTGCTGCAAGGTACCCATTAATGTTGAGGTGGATCTCTGTATCGAAAAAGAGGGTGGAGATGGAAGTGATCAGCTGCTCTGGGAATTTCATGTGCCTCATGACCGCGCGCAGATAGTCCGGGTGAACGCGGTCATAGGCCTTCTCCTGGTCAAAGAGTATCCCTACACCGCCGATCTTGTGTCTCTCACAGTGCTCCCGAAAGGCAGCCATAACAAGGCCATTGTCGGCGATGTGACGACCAGGAACAAATCCTGTTTGGAGAGGGGTGATGAGATAGTCCATGGGCTGACGAAAGCGGATGGTGAGAATCTTGGTAAAGAGTTTGGCGTCGGTATTGATTAGAGACAGAGGTCGCCAGTTCCCGAGGTCTGTAGCATCACCCTTTTTGAATAGGAGAATCATGCAGGTCTGCTGCCAGGATGCGGACATCGTGGCGGTCAGTAGAGCCTGCATCATAACTCGGGAGAGGAGCGAAGCGACTTCCTCAATTGACAGCAGAAAGGTGTAGAGCTCGAACGGAAATCCGTCAAGACCAGGGGCCTTTACGCGGGCGCTGTCTGATAGGGCATCCAGTATCTCAGGGGGGTCGATGGGGCGCATAAGTCTGACCTGGTCCTCTACCGATAGAACTGCCTGATCTGGTAGCTTGGAGAGGAGGAGGTCGACGGCGTTGGCGTCAATGGGGTCGGGTGTGTAGAGTCGTTGGTAGAAGGCGCGGCCTACATCGCATAGGTCTCTCGGGGCCGAGACGGTCTCCTCCAATCCTGATGGTCGTAGAGCTGTGATGGTGCGTTTGGCCGCTCTGGAGTTAAGCACTTGAAAGAAGTACTTGGTGCAACGCTCGCCAAACTCCCGCCATTTCAGCTGAGTCCTCACCGCCCAAGCGTTCATTGAGGCCTCTTGCAGCTTGTCGAGTCTCTTTATTTTGGAATCTGTCTATCTTAAATAACCCTCTTAGCACGTGAGTAAACATGCACCTACGCGACTAGCAGATGCTAAACATCTCACACATGTTGTGCACGTATACAACACGCTGCTAGCTCGTACGTGAGGTCCAGGAACAGGAAGGAGGGCTCAATACGATGCCGCCATGTGGTACCAACGCTGTCCCTCCCAACCATAACAACTACCATGGGAACTCACAGCTGAATTGTTCGACAGAATGTTCACTGGTGTCTGCAAGAGTCTGCAATATATGAGTCTGGAGAAGTGTTGTATCCACCTCGATGGCGCGTCGTATCACTTTCGCGAGGACAAGTTCCAAGTCTGCCGACAACAGTAGGCCAGACCTCGTTAAGTGGATCAAGAGGGAGGATGTCATTGACTTGCTGGCCAAGAGTTCGACAGAGATGGTTGGAACGGAAGAATTTAGACCCCTCACCGACCTCTACCTCAGTCGTTTTCAAGATTGTCGCCAAGAGGTATGCCGATCGATCGAAGTGGACGATATACGGCATTGCCAAGAAGAATGGACACCCCTACCACTGCGAGCTTCAACCAATGGAGAAGATCTGGGCCGTGGTCAAGAACATGGCCGCGGTGAGTTCAACTGGACGACACAAGGCCCTATCACGCAAGCGCACGCTGGTAGAGCATTTTTTCAACATTCCCGAAAGTGTGTTTCTCTCTCTGTTTGGCGCATACGTATCCTGATTGGCATCGAATGCACAAACAACTAGCCGAAGGTCGATGGAGCAGATGGTCAAGATCATGAAGATGGAGATATCATCGATAATGACAGTGAAGAAGAAAGGGAGGAGGAGGAGAGAAGCAGAGGTGGTGGGTGCTCACATCCTTGCACAAAGAATGATACGTGATGCCACCATTTTTTTTTCTAGTACTGTGTCCGATCAATTTGCTTCAGTGCAAGAGAAAAAGGACAGGCCAAGTGCAGCATGACCGTTCAATTGCGTCCGATCTACGAGTACACCCAATTTTTTTTTTGCGTACAGTCTGCTAAGAAAAGTGAGGTGGCACCGGCAAATTCTTTCTCTACAACACACTGATTGAACAAATCAGTGGTGTTCTGAAAAAGAATGTTGTTGTCCTCGCGTCATTCGGTATAGCAGCTCTGGTCCTTCATGGTGGACGCATTGCACACTCTGTCTTCAAGTTCCCCAATCCAGTTTTCAAAGACTCGACCTGAAATATCACCCGCGAGCAACAAGTCGTATCCATTATTCATGCGGCCGACCTCATCATTTGGGACGAGGTACCCATGATGCATCGAAATGTCTTTGAGTCTGTGGACCGGATTATGGATCAACCCTTGGTTCCTTTCGGCGGAAAAATTGTCGTGTTCGGTGGTGACTTTCGACAGGTCTTGCCGGTGGTTGTTAATGGATCTCAGTCTCAAATCGAAGGCGCATGTCTAAAGATGTCTGGCACCATTTGGCCCAAGGTCAAGGCACTCAAGCAAACTCGCAATATGCGAGTCATGGAGGACAAGAGCAGCTCTTTTTCTTCCGTCGATTTTTTGCTATATGTGGGTGAAGGCAAGGAGCAGACATTTTCCTTGGCGGCTCTGATGATTATATCAGGATTCCAGACGACATCCTTTTTACGCCACATGGACCCAATCTCAACAACGAGCACGAGATCCAACTTATCCGCACCATCTACCCCAATATCTCCATCGGCAACTTTGCACCTCACGACATCAAGCGCACCGCTATTTTGACAACACTGAACAAGGATGTCAATTACATGAACAACCTGTCACGAGACAAGAGCTTGCTCTTGTGACTTCGCCCTAACAAATATAAAAGGGCCTAAGATAGCAAATCTATAGCTCTTTACTTGGTATCGCCAATACAACCTACGCTTTAACCTATTCCTTATACTCATTTCTTAGTCCTTGATCAAGGTTCTCTTTATCTACTTCATTCTATTGCTTGGTCTGCTTTCTTGACACAACCTCCCGACCACACTACTTCCTGGCAAGGCAACAGAGTACCTTGGCCAAGACTCCGTTCCGGATTCAGATACCAACGGCGTCGCCAACTGTCCTACAGAGTATCTCAACTCTTTGGACCCCACCGGATTACCTCCCTACTATCTGGTGCTGAAAGTTGGCATGCCCATCATTCTCCTCCGAAATGTGGACCAAAAAAAGGACTGCAACGGAGCTCGCTTGATCGTCCGCCGGCTCAGGCCACGCTGCATCATGGTGTCAAGAAAGCAGACCAAGCAATAGAATGAAGTAGATAAAGAGAACCTTGATCAAGGACTAAGAAATGAGTATAAGGAATAGGTTAAAGCGTAGGTTGTATTGGCGATACCAAGTAAAGAGCTATATATTTGCTATCTAAGGCCCTTTTATACTTGTTAGGGCGAAGTCACAAGAGCAAGCTCTTGTCTCGTGACACATGGCAACAATCCTGACGGGACCTTTTGCCACCGACTTGGTCTTCATCCCACGAGTGCCTATTTAACAACAGACGACAAGTCCACCCCGATCATATTCAAGAGACGACAGTTCCCGGGCAGGCCCGCTTTTGCCATGACGATCAACAAGGCGCAGGGTCAAACCCTTGAAAATGTCGGACTCTATCTCCCTACTGCTGTGTTCACACACAGTAAGCTTTATATTTCTCTTTCTTGATGCGCAGACATCAAAAATGTCAATGTTCTTATGATGCATGGCAGCATCCCCGGTCTTGAGGGCACATACACTAGAAGTGATGTCTATAAGAGAGTTCCGTAATCATACCCTACACCATAGAATCGATCAAAATGTTAAAAGAGTGAACAATGCTCGCCCGTTCTTTAGATCAGTCCTCTCATCCTTTTTGCTGGCTCACTTTTTTATTCCTAATATTATTTTCCCCCCTTTGAAGTCAAGACACATCCAAAATGAATGAGAAAAGACCCCAGGTCGGCAACACCTCTAGCCCTTACACACCAAACCTGGGAATCGAGAAACCGGCGCAGCGTCCGCGGCGTAGCCGCGGCCACTTGCTAGTGCTTATGTACTCTTCGTCTCTTATGTAACACGTGATTATAGCTCAAGAAATGAGGAACTGACAAACACAAATAAAAATTTTAATACTCAACCACCACCACTTTTTGATCAATTCACACTTGATCCACACCTCTGCGAGCGAAGCCGCAGGTATCATTCTAGTTGGCAATAGATGTACAAGCCATGAAATGCAACGATACGTACCGATACGCCAAATACAGGAAGGTCCTGTGATTGCATGCCCTCCAGTCTTTCCAGTAGCACGTTCAGTCCAAATTTTTCGGGGACAGCGTTGCCGGTGTTGGACGGAGGGGCTGGTAAATCCAAGAAAAGGAGACTCAGTCTCGATTCCACCTTTTCGATGACGCCTCGCCGTAGGACTTTGGGCCGCCCTTAATGCCAGTCGTAGTCACGGGCAGAACCTTTTCGCTTCGCACATAAGCGTCCAGAAAGAGAGAGGCGGACGAGCTCAGCGTGAAAAACTTGTTCTCGATTTTGTTGATGTCGACTTTGAGATCACCTGTTGAGATGAACTAGTTAGACAACGAAGTAATCAAAACAAACAGGGAAGAGGATAAGAAGCGAGGTCTACTGAGCTTACCAGAAAGAGGTGTGCCTGGGCGTGATTCATCTGAGAGCGGAGACGTGGGCAGGGATAGGTGTATAGACTATGTTTAGTGCAATTGGATGAGTGAGTTATGGTTAATACAATGGACAAGCTCATGCACAAGGTATGAATGAGAGCAAAGCACGTTTGCATTACGTGGAGGAGGTCACTGGACGATGATGTGGATCGTTATTTGGGCGGTTTGTCCGGAAACACCCCAAAGAGATCGTCTGTTTCATCGAGCTCTTCCTTCGAGGGGACGTCGCCTAGCGAAATGTCTTTGCGGTCCTTCTTGTGAACAAGAGAGATGGAGACGCGCCACAGCATGAGGCTCTTGGCATCAACTCCCTTGAACGCGTCAGGAATCTTGGTCTTAATTGCGTCTGTGAGGTGATCGACAATTTTTGAAGCGTCGATGTCGACAGAAAATGGCAGAGTCTCCATCAACAAGACAGAACAGGGTCAGGAGATTGTCGGTCAGTGGTGTTGCGAAAGCATTAAAAGACGAGAAGAAAAGAGAGTTGCAGAGAAAGTGTGAGGTGTACAGAGAGAGCTAAGAATAAAATATAGAGGAAGAGAACGTAAAAAGAGGAGAAAGGGTGGGAATGGTGAGACTGTAACGAGGCTAAAATTAGGGAAAGGGTCACGATCACCCACTTCGGTGACGTAATTTATGCGCCCATTGTTCGTATCGCCCCCTCGCGACCCACGCCCTTTTCATCTCTTTCTTTTTCTTTCTTTAACCCTTCGCCTTCTCTACATCTCTCACCAACTTTACATCGCTCACTCTCTTGACAATCCTCACTTTCTTCCCTCCAGTACTTTTCCTTTGATACTTCATAACACCATGACCGACAATCGCCTGAACCTGTACTGTCTTGTTGACGGCGACTCAATCTCGAAAGCCTTCGCACTGGACGTACCATCGACGGAGACTGTTGGGCAGCTCAGAAACACCATCCATCTCAGTAAGCCGGTCTGGTTTAAGGATCTGGAAGCAGAGGATCTCACCCTCTGGCACGTCTCGATTCCTGTAAACGACGACGATGACGACGACCTTCCTGTTCTGCTCGAGTCTGTGCCTGAAAAGGAGAAACTGAGGGTGACCAGCCACCTCTGCATGGTCTTTAAAGCTAATTGGCCAGAGAACACGATTCGCGTTATTGTCCAGCGGCCCCCGCCAGGTAATGGAAACGCGCTTTGCTTTCCATTTCACCTTGCTCATGAACTTCTCAGCATAACGCTATTGTGATTTCCATTCGCGTTATTTACCTACATTTTCTATTTACTTCCTTTCCTATAGCTGCGAAAAGACACCGCGAGGAAGATGGAGGTGAATAATTTGTCTTCAGCTGTGTTTAAAGGAGCACTTTGCTTTCATTCAATCATTCATGGACATTGTACAAGTTGCCAATATTTTTGGATGCTCCTTTCTCTTGCACGTCGCTTCTCTTACTAGGGTCCTCTTCCATGAGAAAGCGTCATCGTCCGCACTCGCTGATGGATGCGATTGAGGATGCTGGTCTCGCGGAGATTGCTATGGTGGATGACGAATTTGACCTCTCTCTTCTAAACAACAAACAGAGAGTCGTGCTGCTTGATTCCATTGGTCAAAAGGTCAACAGGTCGGAAACCTTTTACTCGTTGTCTACCACTGCCCAGAAATGGCGACGTGCCATCATCGAGGGCAAGTTATTGGCTCCTCCTGACACCAAACCTCCTGTCATCGGCACAAACGAGAAGGACAGTTACGACCTATTGTCTACCGGAGCCAGCAAGTCGAAAGCCGAAATCGAGACTGAGGGCCTGCTATCAGCTCCTTCCGGCACCCAACTTCCCATCGTCGGTACAAAGGATCTCTATGTCAGAAAGGCTTACAAAGTTCTTTACGACACAATCCTCAAGACGTTTGAGAACAATCCAGCGCTCACTCCAGACACTAAGAAGCATATCGTTGTTACAGGTACATCTGGGATCGGCAAGTCCGCCTTCCTGGTGTACCTCGCCATCCGACTTCTTGCCGAGAGCGACGACGACAACCCTCCGATTATCATTTTCCACACCAAACAGAGCGCTGAATGCTACGTATTTGGAGGGCGTTCTACTGTCCGAACCGGCGATATCCAAGTCTTTAAACCCTTTCTTAGTCTACCCGACACATGGTATTTTGTCGACAGCGCACCTAATCCAGTACTCGATCGAGCCAAGACCGTCATATCATATTCACCAAAGACTCTGTTTTCCGATGACCCCCGATATAATGACGTCGACAAAGAGGTAACATGGCGTTACTACATGGCCCCATGGAGTCTGGAGGAGTTGAAGACGTGCAGGACCCATGTTGCAGGCTACCAGGTGGTCCCCTTGCATGTGATGGAAGAGCTCTACTCAAAGATTGGCGGTGTGCCGAGATATGTCCTAGAAAAGCCGATGACAGTAAGTTATGAGCCCAATCCACAACTCTTTTCCTAGAGATCGACTTTTATTTTGCGAGATAAACAATACGCTCATAGTCTCCCTTTCATTTGTTTTAATACACCCTTGACCTAATTCATCGCTAGGAATTAAACCTCCGTCCCGACGACGAGGAAGGTGCTAAGGCCGCGGCACTGGAGCGTCTCGAACTAGCCCTCAAGGCAGTCGAAAATTCGGTGAGTTTGCTGCTTTCCTTCTCGCAAGGCAAAGAATCACTCGACTTCAGCAGCCGTCTGATTCACCGTTGGCCCATACAAGGTCATCGCAAGGGTCGATTGGAATGGGCTTCAGCATACGTCGTCGAGAAGATTACCAGTTCACTGAAGCGGGACGCCTGGGGCCAAGTGCTGGAGAAGCTCGTGGCGGGTACTGGCGGAGGCGATAGCGGTATTTTGTTCGAAGCATATGTCCTCCGTGCCTTCCGAGAGGGCGGCCACACCTTTGAACTCAAGGATCTCGAAACCGGGCAGTTTTCTCGTTTGGAAATCCCGCCGAATCCAAACGTGAAACTTTTCGATACGATTACCCAGGCCCCGCCGGGTACATTATTCATCCCAAAGGTTTGCAACTTTGCCTGTGTCGACCTCCTTCTCACTCCAAGAGACCTGTTCCAAATCACGGTATCCAAGACCCACCCCATCAAAGGAGCGCCGCTCAAAGGCCTTATCAAAAGCATCAAGGACGCAAAATGGAATCCTCTTCCTGACGATTTTCGGCTTATCTTCGTCGTCCCAAGCCGTGTCTATGCCGATTTCAAGAAGCAAACCTACTTGACAGATGGGAGAGTTTATATCAACACCCCTCAGGAGTTTCAGCACGTGAAGCAGTATGTGCTGAAGATCGATCTGGAGTCAGCACTTGCTGGAAAATCACCTGGATTGCAAACTCCGTTGCAATAAAGCGCTGGCGTAATAGGTCCTCGCTCCACGCCTTTGCGCAGCGGCTCCACTTCGTCTTAGCCTGTTAGACGAAGTCGCCCTCCATATTTCATTGCCACTGAGAATAAAAATCATTGACTAGTCATCGCTCCCACGCCTTTCGTCAGAGCTTTTGTCGCGATCTCTAATCAGTTTCTCTTTCTTTTCCATCATAACTCCACTTTGCCGGCTATTAGTGAAATGATGCGGTTTGCAAATTGTATTTAGCTCTTTACTTTCCGTCACCAGTATTTCGCCACAACACCCCAGAAGGTCCTACTGTCTGATTTATTTATTTTTAGTGATTCTATCCGGTTAATTTTTTTTGGCTGACCAAAGATCAGTTAAGTTAGCACTTAGCAAGTTAGCAGACTAATCTTACAGATCAATAAATCGGTTAACTGGGTTAACTGGTCTGCATCATGTCTCCCAAAATAAATCAAATGGACTGAATTGCTTCCCTAAATGTACTATTCTAAAAGGGCATGAAACGGTCACGGATATTTAGCGCACGTGATGAATGATTGTTAGGATTCCCTGCTTCCCCTTAAGCAGGTTCACCTATAGTCTATCGGTTCACCACGTCCTCTACCGGCCCCTAGGATCCTGAGTCGCGGCACACTGCGGTCGGCCGGGCCGACACTGATGTCCTGACGGCACCAGCGGGCCCCGTCCCGAAATCTCTCTTGAGGGCTCGGACGATCGTTCGGCTCCTCGACGCCGCCCCCCCAGAACTCATAGCCGAACCGCACCTCTATATAAATAACTAGCATTTCCTTAGAACTACCTTTAGTTCCTTTCCGTTCTCCTTCATAAATATATCTTTCTTTCCCTATATTTTCCTTGTCTTCATGTCCATCTTCCAGTGGACCTTCGTTTATCTATCCCTTCTCTTTTCACTCTTCCTTCTAGAACTCATTACTTTTGGGCTGACACCCAAATCCCCTTTCTCTTCATCTGGTTGTACCTTGATCGCTCGTGCTGCACTTTCCCCAATGACAGTCACCCGATTCACCTCTCAACCGAACATGATGCATGCATGTCCAAGAACGACATGTAGAAAGAGTAGCATCGTCTTCTTTCCGACGCGCTTATTTCACGTCTACATTTCATTCAAACCTACCAGCCACCATGCCAAAGACCAATGTCAAGCAAGGAGGTCGCTTGGGGATGAGGCGAAGAAGCGAGCACAAAAACAGAAACCTGCCCCTCCTCTGCTCAACACAAAGGAAAAAACATACACCAAAAAACAGCTTGACGACATATATCTCCTTCGCCGACTGCGATACCACGACCTTTTGAACTCTGCCAGGAATGACGACATGGCTGCTGACGTTATGTTTCCTACTGCCGACAACTTCGAGATCCCGTTATCAAGAGTCTCCCATTCCCTAGAAACCCAAGTCGAGCTGTTGGACATATACCATTACCTCGAAAAACGGAAGGAGAACCTTTCGTTCAAGTTCACCCGCCACACCTTTGGATCTAGAATGGGAATTAAACTTCCCAGAAACACTTTTTATAAAATGCTCAAGCGAGAGGATAAGGTATTTTCACATAACTAGCTGTCAAGAACTGTATATATCCAATGTAATTAATTGACACTTCTTCTACTTGCTCTTTAACGTTCAATAGATACGCTCGGCTGCTAATGCACTCCCGAAAGGCGCTCATTACATTGTCAAGCGGAAGGATATGGTGCTTGAGCAGGTCGTGCTTCATTGGCTGCATGACCAACGTAGGAAGAGTGTTCCTGTATCCGGCAAGTTGATGCAGGATGCAGGTCATTTCGCTTGCACAGTTCTTTGTGACTTGAGGGATGAATCGGATGGTACCCAGTCCAAGGAGCCACTATCATTTTCGGCTTGGTGGCTTGACGGATTCAAGAAACGGTATCACATCTCGCATTGCCAACTTCATGGAGAGGCAGGGGAGGTCGACCTGGGGGCTATCGAACCCGAGCTAATCGAAATTCGCCAGCTTTGCGCCCAGTACACCCCTGACAACATTTTCAACTGTGATGAGACTGGGATGTATGTGAAGGAACTGGACACCAAATCGTATACGAACCCAACTTCCACGTCAGGCGCCAAGGCAATCCGGGACTGCAGAGTATCCGTTATGTTTTGCATCAATGCTTCTGGAACATCTCTCGCTATGGCCAAGAAAAAAGGTTCATTAATGCCGCTAGTTATCGGTAATATATGATGTTCTGTATGAGTGACTTATATGTGAATGACCTTGGCGACATATCTTTCTTCAGATCTTAATCCTTATGGCTGTTTTGGTTCATGTTAGGTGAACACATCCCCAGAGACGTTGAAAAGGAGGCTGCCGCAAAGATGACCATGACGAGAACAAAGAAAGGGTGGATGGACGGCGAGGTATTTGTACGCTGGCTACAAAAGTTGGACGATGACCTTGACCAACCCACTCTTCTTCTGATGGACTCTGCAGGAGCGCACAATAACGTCGATATGCGCGACCCTTATGGAGGAGTGCCTTGGAGGCATCTTCACATCCGGCGACTACCCGTCAACTCAACTTCGGTTACCCAACCTCTCGACGCGGGCGTCATCAATGCTTTCGTACGTGTGTTTCTGGAGATGCTTGGCTTTGAAACATATTATGTTCGAAACTTCAACCAAGGAGGCCATCCATATCCGGCTCCACCAACCATAGACTACTTCCGCGCACCCTTTCCACCGCGCGCCGGGCATGAGCTAGAGGCAATGGCTGTTTTTGATGTCCTGGAGATCGACTCATTGTGCCAGTGCTCCCGCTGCTGCCGCTTCCAGGGGTTGTGTTCGAGAGTGTTCTGATCCTGCGCCGGCACTAGCCATCCAAGGAAGAGATCCGTCCGGAGCCACAGGCTGGAGGTGCTCTGGACGCTGCTGCTTCTCAAGATATCCTCGCACAAGGTTGGCCTTGTTCTCAGCCGCCATAACGTCACGGTGGTGACAAACGTGGCAGGTTGGGCAAAAGAAACGGCGGAGGGTGACCTGGGCGACGAATAGCCCACAGTGAGGACATTTCTTGCTCGTATAATACCCATTGAGTCCAACGACCAGGTAACCCAACGACCGTGCCTAATTTGAAGGAAACGGGCAATCATATTTACTATTTTTTGTTTGTTTTACGGATGACAAGTATTTGCAGGTGTCAATCCTTAATGATATTCTTGAATCAATGGTTACCTTCTGCACAAAAAAAGATAGGAAAGTGGAGTCAAGAGAGGAGAGTCCACTCCTAATCGAGAACTTGCCCAGTCCTACTCCAATCAAGACAGGGTTTACTGGATCATATCGACGCCCAATACTTCCTCCAACGATACCAAGGAGGCGGTCGGCAAGTAATTGGTACTCATACTGACGGGCACGCTCCTTGTCCCACTTGTGGCGTTTGTACAGCTGGTCTAGGCCCGCATAGAACTTCAATAGTCTCTCCTCGACTCGCCTCAGCTCTGCAGTGTAGTTGATCACACTCGCCCCCTCGCCTTTCAAAGGCGGAAGTTCAGTCTCGATTCTTGCAATCGTTCGGTGTTCCTCACCCACATCCAGCAATGCCTGCTTCTCGCCCTCCAGCCACCGACGGAAGCGGAATGTTGGTTGATACACCGCCTTTTGTTTCACCGTCAGATTGTGAAACACCGCCCTTGTTGACACCAGAGGCGAGGTTGTTGTCTGTTGATCTTGAGTTGAAACCGAGATGGGGATGGGAAGAGAGATTGAGAATGTTGACGTTGCTGTCGGTTCCACAGAGGTAGCAAAAATCCCTTCCATGCTTGAAGTTACCTGTCGACCTCCTTGCCGTTTCCAGTCCTGAGCGAGTCGTCCAGAATATCCACAGAGGCGCCAATGACACACGCCTTCCACCGTCCAAAGTCAACGCCTTGATCTCTTCGGGTTGAACTCCTGGCCAATATTTGGTGACGTCGTCCTTGCTGGTAATGACATTCCTGATCTCGGGCAGGAAGTAATCGATTCCGCCAACAGTCGAAGTCAATCTTGAGGGCAGCCTGTCCTCTGCGATACGGCGAAATCGAACATCCTGAAGCTCTCGAAGCTTGAATGCCAACAACTGTATCCTGAACCCGTCGGTCTTTAGAGAGCCTCGGAGGACATATCCCTTCGTGGCATAGGTAATGGGGTCGAGCCATTCATTCTGGACATCCACCAAGTGACTCCGGATCTGATCCAAGGACCACAGCTTGACCGCAGATCGATGATCTGCTTGCTTCCGCTGTCGACTTGTGAGACCTTGAGGGGCGACGTCGGCGACAAAGTTCTTGATGATATAACCGGGCTCTTTTCCTGCTATCCATGTGTCAAGGTCGTTCACTGAGGTGATGGTCGAGTTATCCAACTCGCCCACCCGCACCAATCTTTCTTTCAGCGATGTACGCTTCCAGAAAAGGCTGCAATCTCCCTCTCCGAGAATGTAAGGAAGGTTGCTGTGAGGAGGTAAGGGGCACAATCCGACGGCTGTTTCCCGTGAGTTTGTTCAAGTAGGGAAAGTTCTCGACGGCGGAAACATCTGGTCGAATTTGAATGTCGACATCTCCTCTTACTATGCCCTTGTCCTTCATGACCTTGAGCTATGCAAGAAATGAAAATAATAAAATAAAATAAATTAAATAATATTCGCGATGTTTTTTTTTTGTGCGATGAAAGCATAACAGCACACCTGAATTAGTCAAAGACACTTCAGCCCATACCTTATCGTGGAGATCACGGCTCCTATGCCCATACACTCGCCTCAGCTCGACAGCCAGCTGACCAGACACAGATCGGACCAAATACGTCGGTGTGAATGGTGCGGTTTCCTGAAGTTCCCTGCGCGCCCGAAATGGATCATGTATCCCGTCCTTCACCAACCAGACAACAAGCTGATTAGCAACGCCGCCTGCCTTGGAGTTCTCCTTCGGGTAATTTCCTGAATAGAGATACGTCAGGAAAGAGATTAAGAAGTGGAACTCCTTGTCCTGCCTGTTCGCGACATCGGAGTCGTCGTTCTCCTTGATGCCGCCGGCATCCTCCTCATCCTTATCGATATTCGCAGGATTGTCCACTCGCAAATCGACAACAGTATCCCCGCTCCGCCTCCGTGATAGAGTCCTTCTTGCACTGAAGTCGATATAATTCGGTCATCGTTTGGGGTGGCGTCATTAATTCCAATATAATCCGTCGCTCCTCCTCCACTTTGTCCATGCGATCCCTCAGCATTTCCACGAAATGGTCAATAAGACGCTGAGCCTCACGCTTCACGCCCGCAGCCAGCCGTGGGGCCTCCTGGAAACAATCGACTACCTCCTGACGCTCCTTGGTAAGAGCGTCAGTACCGGCAACTCCGTCCATCACCGCGCGTCTGACGTTCGCACGCACTGTGCCAATCTCCAAAGAAGACGTTGGGTGGCGCCAGTTCATAGACCGCACGAGACCATTCTTGTCGAGATCTGCAAGTGATTTCTTCTGAATTCCAGATGAGACTCTGTCGCCCTTCGGTTTGGACTTTTTGATCGAAACACTGTTGTGAGAAGTATGGGGTCTGTTGTCAACGAGAAGAAAAGAGTTGTTTTATTATTTTACACCACTGGAGTGATATTTAACCACGGTGGTGATAGCTAATCACGGAGGTGGTAAGTAATCACGGAGATGATAATTGTTATAAATAATCACGGATGTGATTTCTTGAGCAGCGACCATCTGTCATGTAGTGATGTGGTCGCTTGCAGCACTTCTTCGTTAAATAAAAAGACGGGGTAAAATAGAAATAAAAACCCCGTACCGTAACACAGCTCCCCGCTAAGTTTTTTGGACCATGAGAGTGAGCGTAGTGGGCAATTGATAATGTAAGGTAAAAAAATGAAAAAACCTTAGTATTTTGTAGTGGAAGGAAAAATAACCTTCTTCAGTTGTAGCGATGAGGAAAAAACAAAACCTCTTTCAGACCTCGGTTCTATGTGGGTCTATTAGCGCAAGGTGAAAAACGTCATGCTCTAGTTGTGGCACGCGTGCAAAAAACCTTGTCATTGCTCCTATCTCTTTGTAGGGTGGTTATTAAATAAAATTTGTTAGAGCTTCTCAGACCTCTTTCTTTTGCGAGTGACGGGACTGGAGCTTTCTATTTGTTCCATTTTGGCAGCTCTTTCTTTTCTGTTTTCAAACCTCTTTACATGTGTGGCTATTACATGTGGGTTCTTTTTGTTGATTCTCTGGTAATACAGCGAGATGGCTTTTTTCGAGTCGAAGTTCTCGTAGGGAATTTCCGAATTCTCTGACTCAGGATAACCCTTCCATTGTACCTTGTACAATACAATGCTCCAACTCTATCGTTTCCTGATTTTTCACAACCATTCTATGTTGCCACTGACGCATCGAATGTTGGGATTTGGCGCAGTTCTATATCAATTACCTAAGGGTCCAAAGTACTCAAACCATATCAACTATATTTCATTCGTGTCTCGCTCACTCCAAGAAAGAGAAAGACGATACTCCACAACAAAGAGAGAACTCTTGGTGACAGTCTTTGCTCTCAATCGATTCCATTATAATAATAACTTTGGGGTAGACACTTTGAACTATACACTGATCATAAAGCACTCATGTATATTCATTCTCAACTTGAACTTAACGCCATGTTAACGAACCGGCAAGAAGCAATCTTGAACTATACCTCTACTATCAACTACAGAGGAGGCCTTTCAACTCCATATTATCATATGGTGTTTGTTACATCTCTGTAGATCTTGCTGCTATCTACCACATTAGAGGTGAGTGTATGTATAATATTAACCATGTAAAACAACCGCTGTAACATTCATTGCGTATTCTCCTACTAAACACCATCATATTCTCTAAACAACAAAGTCTTATTTTTCGCACACCAATCTCTTGAATGTGTCCATCTACTATGGCAAGAGTAGAATAGATTCATTTGGTTGCCTGTTTGTTTATTTTGTGAAACTACACCAACGCTACATTTTTTTCTTCTTCATTGACTTGCCTGAGCCATTGAAGGAACCCTCCGCGCGCTTATCGATAGCCAAATGAACCATTTACCCCTGAGTATTTTCATTTGGTGGGAAAAAGAGGACCATTGAACATGCAAAATGCATGTCCTTTCCCTGAAGTGTTTATTGAACAATGACAAGCCGCGTGTTTTCAACGCTCTTTACTCTTCCTTGAGTTTTGTATCGCGCAATTGAAATAAAGACGATGGATTCCTTGAAGGGCAGTCGAGAGATGAGCGCGAGAATTAGTTAAAGAATGCGATGAAAGGAAGCACAGGAAAGAAAAATCGTTTTTACACATTGTACATTTTTTTATTTTTTTTCTTTTTCCTTTAAGTGGAAGTACCTGAAGTTGAATGTATTAGTCGCTGTCTATTCTTTTGGAACCCTGGGAGGTGTTTGTATGCGTTACGGATGTACCATGATGCTGCGACAAACAAATAAAGGGTTGTTCCTTACCCAGTACCGTGAGACACTAAACGAACCAGGGAAGAAAAAAAACCGCAGCGACTAACGTTAAAGACCGGATCCGATATAGTAAACGCATCCTTAATCTAATTGACCTGCCGACCATGATGGCAACACCCAGTTTATTTTTGAACAATAATCCGCTGGACAACTGGTCAGGTACTGACTAATTTCTCAAACATATTCCGTGTCCTCATCTTCCCGAAAGCCTTCTCCCAATCTTGCTCGCTTGTTCGATTTTGATGGTGTAAACAAGATGTACGGCTCCGATTTCCTGGGTCGCAGAGGTGGGGTGGTAGGAAGAGGCGTTGCAGGATTGCAAGCGAAAGTTTCAACTACATCGAGAGCGAATTTTCTCGTATGCTCCTGTTGTTGACGATAGGTTGAGCGGTTAGTGAGTGCAAAGTGAGAATCACCTCGAAAATAAAAAAGAAATGAAAAAAGTCACTTACAGCAAATTCCAACAACACGTGGAGCGAATTAGACTTCAGGAAAGGCTTGAGCTGAGATACATGAGATGGGAGCCAAACACTAGACATCGTAGAACGGCCTGCTCCAAGAATGTCCTCGTAGCGACGCAAAGTGTAGAAGTCCACGACTAGGCCCCGTCCCTCTGCGATGACGGGATAGCTCTTCGTGATGTCCAGTCCCCTTTTCTCTAGGTCCAAAAGGATAGCACCATTGAGGCGAACGGACTTTCGCTGCTGCTGTCGACAAAGAGCTTCCGAGGCGTTGCTTGACTTGAACTCGAAGACGCAAATCTCGTTGTCCCAAGTATGATCAGCATACACTCGAATGCTCATGTCCACCTTCCTTCCGCAAATGTACTTGTTCGTCTGGCCAAACTCATCCTCGATTAGCAAGCGGCAATTTTTGGCTGCTGTCGACATCAGTTCTCCTCTATTTTATTATAAAAAGAAAACGAAAAAGAAATTAGTGATTTAGTTCAGCAATGAATGAACCTGCCAAGACTTTGTTTTTCAACTTACGGGATGGCTCTGACTTTGGAACCGTGAAAGAGTGTGTTAAAAATTTGTGTCCAAGCAGAGACATAGACATGCTCTGACGTCGGAGGTTCGAGCTGTCCTATCGCCAGCAATGAACAAATGTGGCTCATGGTCATGAGAGCTGCGTGAACAGCCTTTTGTTCCTTGTCTCTCACTGTCAGTTTCGCGAACTGCGAAAGCAGCTCCCAGACCTTCAGCTGCAAATCCAGGAGACTTGGCTCTGCATAGGGGTCTTCTTTTATGCCAGGGCACAACGCCGACAACAGGTCCGATAGCAATGCCTCCACCGTTGACATCCTCGGCGAGAGCCAAGGAAGAAGCGACTCGAATTTGATCGTTGATGAAGTGTAAATCCCATTGCTGTTGGAGAAAGAGTGTTGATAATACCCGATAAGAGGACCCTGGATAAAACACAATGTTAACGACGACCGACAAAACATAACGTTAAAGATGACCGACAAAACATAATGTTAAAGACGGCCGACAAAAAAAAATCGAACAAATAAATAAATAGATAAATAAACTTGGACCTACATTATGTCCTTGCTAACATTGCTAGACTTGTCCAGGTCTTTGTACGCGTACTTGGCCATCTCCTTGTGATTCAAAGATGAAATAGACGTCGGGAAATCAGGGAGTGTCGTCACCTCTCCGCGTGTCTATGACGGTGAAAGGACAAGTACAGTAAGAACAGTCATCCCCTTGCAGATAGATAGTAACACCCAGAAACAGCAAGCGTAATCGCCTTCGTTATAAAGCGCATTTACTAACCTTCTTGAAGATATGTAGGATGAGGTCGTAGAAGGGGGTGGCCTTGGCGCGTGTGATCTCTTCCTCGGTCAAGTCAACTTCAGGTTGGTTCTCCTCGTGGAATCTGTCAGTCGAACCATCGCTTTGGTTAGGCTCGTCTAAACGTAGTAGGTCCCAACATAGATAGCACATAAGGATCAAAGGTCTACAGCATATTTGGCACACAAAGAAACCTCAGAACCATGCCAATGACTCTGGCTCTGATTCAGTTGTGCGGGTACTTTGTAGGAGTTTAATAAGTATTGCGTTTTCCTAAAATAAAATAAAATAAAATAAATGCCATTAATAACCGCGTTACCTGACTGCTGCGCGTGATCGTACTGCGTGGTCTCTGAACTAGAACTCAGGGGAGGAAGGGCATTTGCGGATGATTCATGTAGCGGCCGTGTCGTAGCGGATCTGCTGTGACCAAGCTCCTCCTTAGCAGCTAGTAGTGGCAAACAAAAAGTTATTGTTACTCAAAGCATTCGGGGGTCGACCAAACATAATTCAGACTTTTCATGCAACTAACCTTCTACTTGGTGGTCGATCTCGCCGGTAAGCAAGTCCGCTGCTCCTGCTCGCACTGCTTCCGGAACTTTGTTTGTAATTATAACATTGTACTCATTCTTGCAGGCGGCTCTGAACTCCTCCGTGTAATCCAGTCTCAAAGCCTGCTCATCATCCTGTTCCCGACAGGTACAAACGTAGTTCGTATAACAGAGATAGGTCGAGCGATAATCCTTGTGCCCGTGGAGGTCCTGTAAAGTGTATTCAGTGAAGCTCAGCATTATTGTCGAACGGCGCTCCTATTTAGATGACAAAAATCGGAAGCCGGGTTGGAAGCCTCCGTGCCGAATGTGTTAGCTGGCTAGATTGTCATAGGAATCTGTGAAGCCTGTATTATCACGCAAAAAGGGTCTGCAAAGACCAATTGAGGCATAGGGCGGCAATGTTCCCCCGGACCTCCAAGAGGGTCGACCATTCAACTCGGAGGTTCATGTGGGCCCGACCGCTTTAGAACTGCCACATCTGTGGTTAACGTTCACCATCAAATAGCCCAACGCAAAAAAATAAAAAAATAAGTAGATCGACAAAGACCAGTTGAGGCATAAGGCGGCAATGTTCCCCCGGACCTCCAGGAAGGCAGACCATTCAACCTGGAGGCTCATGTGGGCCCGACCGCTTTTAGAACAACAGCTGCATCTGTAGCACGCGTTCACCATCAACAAGTCCAAGGTATGAATGTAAAAGAAGAATACAAAAAGGACGCGCCAATTACACAACCAAGCGGGCAATCGCTTACCATTCAACGTGTGCGGAAGAGGAAGAGGATGGTATGACAAGTATGACTTTTGGTCGACTCAAAAAGCACAATGGGCGCGAGAATTACGTCACCGAAGTTAGTAATCTCGCGCCATCGCTCACGTGACCCGACACTATGGAGTGCTGACAAGCATGCATATCTAACAGCCATCTCATCACCCCTCTCCAAACAGGATTTGTTCCTTCAGCCAATAAGACGTATTACAAAACATCATTAACGTATTTCTTACGTCTATAACCACCTTTTCCGATTTTAAGTTGAATACGAAAAGACCATTCGAGTCCTGAATCATACTATGTGGTCTGTTTCCAACCAGCACAATTCACTGGTTCCGAGCAGTATGAGGACCATGACAGGCGAGAAGGGTCAGCTACGCGCGAGTGCATTGTCAATATTGTCCAGCGATTCAGACCATATTGATTGCCAATTAATGCAAATAAACAAAATATATTGATCAAGGGCGATTTTTCACGTATACGGTACACGTAAATAGTTTTGTAAAACATCCAACTTTCTGTCAACAAACTATGTACCATGCGGGTTGGTGTATACGATCCGAATTTGTAAGAGGGATACAATACAAATAGGCACCAAGCAAGATGCGATTTTTTAAAAACTAGTCTCTTATTTGCATTTCGCGGCAAAGATTCAATAGAGCAAGAACAAGTTTTGGAGTATCATCGTCAAGAATTACTCTCCTCAATTTCAATGCGAAGGATGCGATCTGGTGATGGAGATGTACATTCAGGAGAGATCTATGCGAAAAACTATGGTACTATTCCGTTTGGAGAATGTGGTGATAAATTTATATGTGTTTGAGAGCAATGCTAATTAATTGTCTTGGGCTCAATCCACTGCGCCCAAGGATCAACTGATCGTGCCAAAGGTCGACTGATCGTGCCAAAGGTCGACTGATCGTGCCAAAGGTCGACTGATCGTGCCAAGGGTCGACCGATCATGGCAAGAGTCGACTTGTCATAGGGAACGACGCGGCAACCTCCCCTTCTAGGGCTAAGCTCCGCGAAGCAAAGAACCGGGCTTGTTGGGATGACGTTGGTGGAGCTGTGATACAAGCTTGGGGGAGTTGGCGACCGATGTGGCGGGAACCCAAAACCGCTCGGAAATAGGGTATCCTTTCCAGTGGATGTGATATTGAAGAGTGCTTCGCTGTATTCTGGAGTTGAGGATTGATTCGACTTCATACTCGTCTTCACCAGCAACAATCAATGGTGGTAAGCGCTTTGGGGTTCGGTCCGGAATAGTGTTAGGACGGAAACGCTCAAGTAGACTGACGTGGAACACAAGATGGATCTTCATCATCTTGGGGAGGTCCAAACTGTATGATCGGGTGCCCACCTTCTCAAGGATGGAAAAAGGGCCTTGTCGCTTATAATCCAGTTTTAGAGCCAGGCGGGTGGTGCGAAGGTTGCGAGAGTCAAGCCAAACCTTGTCACCGATCTCAAGCTCTGGTTGGACCATGGCCTTGTGATGAAATAAAGGGTTAGTTTTTGGGCCATCCATATCTCCTATAATATAACATAAACTACAATTTAGACATAGTCTTTTGGGTCTTGCCATAGTACTAGCATACATAGCATTACTACTAGGATACATAGCAATACTACTAGCATACATAGCAATACTAGTATACACATCAATGCCCATATATGCCACGTTTTGCCCCAAGACAGCCAGGCCCCAGGTTGCCCGGGTAACGGGAGAATAGGTTTTCTCCTAGTTCCATTGAACGCGTCTTGCATTTTATCCCATCACGTGACTCCGCCACCAGGTCACTCCAGTTCTAGGGGTATCTTTTGGAATATGTATATATCCTCTACGATGTAGCTACATTGGATCTCATATACCTTTTCTACGAGCTATATTGAATCCTAGGTTGCTATCCGTAAAGAGTATATTCGCCTAGGATTATTCTGTCACCAACCTTTGTCCTTCCTCCGTCTTGTCTCTTTGCCCATTTGCCTCCAGCTCCCAGCCCAGTCCCCAGTTCCCGTCTCAACCCTTTTCCGTTCCTCCGGCTTCTAGCATAAATAAACCCCCGTTCCCCCTGTTTTGTTCCTCAGTCTGCAACAACTCACTTCCATCTGTCCCCTGCCTCTATTCTTCCCACTTTCTTATTCCTTTCCTTTCCTTCATAATAAAATATAACAAAAAGCAATACACATTCCTCCGAGTCCTGTCTGATCATTGCAATATACTCTTGTTGATAAATGGAAGTTGTATAAACTATTACCACAATCTCCCCCAAATTAAGGACTATTGGTGGTTATAGATTGGAAAATATTAACCGGGGTTGTGATAAGCAATGAGGTTATGAGGAAAATGGAATAACGAAACAAAGAGAAGGATCTGTTTATTCAGGGACGAAGAGTGCTTATGTACTCTTCGTCCCTTATGTAATACGTGATTATAGCTCATAGATAAAGGATCTCTATTAGTCACAAATAGGTCTTGGATGGAGAACTACCCGGAGATCCACGCTGAATTTGTACAATTCTTGCGCGTTCGAAGGGCTAGTTCTCCATCCAGGATCCTTTTGGCGCTAATAGAGATACTTCATCTATAACCACCAATAGTCCTTAATTTGGGAGAGATTGTGGTAATAGTGTATACAACTTCCATTTATCAACAAGAGTATATGGGCATTGCTATGTATTCTGGTATTGCTATGTATGCTAGTAGTATTGCTATGTGTGCTGGTATTATGGCAAGACCCAATAGACTACGAAGCGTAGAATTGAAATTTTTTGAAACCTGTGGATGTCCAAACTTATTTTCATATGTATGTCCAAGTTTTGCGGACTCATGTCCAGACATGACATTTCACTTCGTAGTCCGTTGGATTGCACAAAACTTCAGGTCAATTGGCTTCACAGTCCTTCCAACTAGAACCTCCGCACTAAAACCATGCGTTTGACAGGCCAAATTTCGTCATTTTGATGATTCGAGTGGAAATGTAATGCTCGTTCATGGATGCTAATGAGCCCTTGTTAATGACTCATTCATTGCTACATTCTGCCCACACTTGACCTGTCGGCGAACTGTATGTTGTCTTGGCACTTGGAAAGCATGTCATTGGCGTTGGCTTTCTTTTTTATTGTCTCATTTTCGCCTACGACTCCACTCTTTCTAGGAAAAGAGTAAATATAAAACAAATATGGTATTTATTGTCCTCACTACCCTTTGTCCTCCCTATCCTTCCTTAACCCTCGGTCGTTGCTGCTGCCTTATCGCTCTCAGCCTTGAGGAGTTCTCTCGCAGCATTGGTGCTCATGCCTGTGTAATCCTTGCAAGCAAGGATTGAGTCAATAGTGTTTTCTTCGCTTGCCGCCTTTTCTCTAATTAGCTCTATGAGCTCTGCCCTGCGCCTGTACTGTCTCTTCTGATTCTCCCCCCAAGCTTTGTACGAATCAGCATATGCACGAGCAAGAGGCCCATGTACTCATCCCAAGCGTTCCTGAGCGTCCATGCACCTTTGTCTGTGTGCATTATATACTCAATTCACCGATCAACTACGCACTTTTTTGGACCAAAACTGCATTCGAGATCCACTACTCTTTTTTAGGCACTTCTATTTCGCACAAGTATCAACTGCTAGCACATTACACTTAGAACAAAATCGCTCTATTTTCGATCAATAGGTTAAATCATTTAATATGTAGAGAGCGACGTGGGCGTGATCGAACCAGTGGCTTCTCCTCCTCCTTCTCCTCCTCCTCCTCCTCCTTCTCCTCCTCCTTCTCCTCCTCCTCCTCCTGCTCCACTTCCTCCACTTCTTCCTATCCTTCATCTCCTTCCTCTTGCTCCTCCATCTGATTGTCCTCCTCCTCCTCCTCCTCCTCCTCCTCCTCCTCTTCGACCATCACTCTCAGCAGGCCATTGTCGTCGCCATCCACCTCGTAGGTGTCGCTCTCTGACGTATCTGACGAGTCATCGTCATCTCCAGAGCTACCATTCGACTCAAACACATCTGGGTTCATCTGCAGCTGGTCATCTTTCTCCTCTTCTTCCTCACCATCTTTGTTATCTGTCTCTGGATACGGGTCTTGGCCATAGTCTTAGCTGTAGCCCAGGCGCGTCACTGCATGCTTGGTATTCATGAGGCGGCCAAAGGGATGTCCTTTAAGCGCCATCAAAAAGTGTCTGTTGACTTCCTTCATCCAACCCGCGACCTTGGCAGCCGTGATAGTAAGGCGAAGAGATCGGGGTATATGTCCTGTAAGCGTGTGCTTGTCGACCTTTGTCTTCTTGACTTGACGCTTGATGGCACCGAAGAGTAGAGTACTTATACAAAACACGGTCGCAGGTGTTCATTATGATAATATATGATATTGATAAGAGTAGTGTAATATTGCTTTTGTTCGTTCTTGAAAAAGCGGGAGTGGAACATGCTATCATTGTGCGACAATTACGATCTAAAATGCGATTTACATTTTGTTCAAAAAT